CACTGTAATGTATAGAATATGCTTCCCAACTTTAGATTACAACAATAGCAAGCATTTTGTCAACCCGGTTTACCCTTTTGGTCCGATCAAGAAAGTGGATTGAGGATTAATGATCTGATCTCTTTAATCCTATTTAGCTCGGATATATAAAAAAATCATTATATTGTTCACACATTTATAAATTTGGAGGGATGGATAATGCCTATTTGTGTCTAATTTAGAAGTTTCTCAACCTAGCACTAGCAACCCATGAACTCCACGTGGAGTGAGGGAATGTTTTGACCTTTTTAATATATGTGTGGTAAATGGTGGGTGATAGAATTACCACCTCATTTTTACCTAAGGCCACATTGATGTTGACTCACCCATCTTTCTCCACCTCTTATCCAAGTGGAAAGGGTTGGATGAGTTTGATGATTGGTGGTTTGAGTGAGGAATAGTACAGATAAGGGTTTCATTACCATCCATCAACTAATTACTCTCTATCTGCATCCTAGAAGACACACCCGCTGCACTCCGTTTAGGTTTGATAAGAGATGGCGCGAAAGCGAGGATTGCTGTCAAATTGTTATTAACCGTTGGCAAGGAGGAGGGAATGTTTGTGATATTTTGAATGGTTGCCAAGTTGATCTGAGGAACTGGGCTAGGATTGATAGATTGACCAAACTGAAGAGAGAAAAAGAAATTAGGAGCAGATTGCAAGTTTTGCAGGGGACTTTCAGATCCCCGATGGTTGTCACTGAGGAAAGGAATCTCCATATGGAACTGGAATCTCTATGGAGTTTAGAAGAATCATTCTGGGCACAGAGATCCAGAATCTCGTGGCTGCAGGAAGGGGACCAGAACTCAGGTTTCTTTCATACTAGCACAGTCAAAAGGAAGAATCGTAATCGCATTCTGAAGCTCAGGGACACTGAGGGGAACTGGATCTCCAATCCTCAGGACCTGGATACTCATGTTAACGACTTCTACCACAATCTTTTCAACAGCAAGAATGAGCAGGCTGCTCCAAATATTTTGGAAGGCTTCCCCTGCCTTGTCTCAGAAGAAATGAACTTCGGCCTCTGTGCACCAGTTGAGAAGGATGAAATCCGAAAGGCTGTTTTTCAGCTTGGGGCTAACAAAGCTCCGAGACCTGATGGGTTCCCAGGGCTTTTCTTCAGGAAATTTTGGAGCACCCTCGGGGATGCCTTCAGCTAGGAGATCTCAAGTTTTTTCCAAACTGGTATTATGCCAACATGTTGGAATGATACCTTTATCACCATTATCCCGAAGGTTGAAGCACCAGAAATGATCAGCCAATTCCGCCCTATTAGTTGCTGTAACTTCAGATACAAAGTGATTACTAAAATAATGTCCAACAGACTTCAACCCTGGTTACCTGAGCTGGTCAATGAGCTACAATCAGCATTCACAGGGGGAAGATAGATTCAAGATAATATTATTATTGTACATGAGGTTCTCAACCACTTCAAGAAACACAAATCGGGCAACAGAAAGGAAACGATGTTGAAGCTCGATATGAGAAAGGCCTATGATTTGGTTGAATGGGAACTACTTATCAATCTGCTAAGGGCCTATGGTTTCAATGAGTTCTGGTGTAACTGGATTCACTCGTGCATCTCAACAGTTAGCTTTAGATTACTGTTCAATGGAGAATCATCTGCTGCTTTCAAGCCTTCGAGAGGCAGTCGACAAGGGGACCCACTTTCTCCCCTTCTCTTCATCCTGATGTCGAATGCCCTTTCTTTCCTGATTGAGAAAGCAATGTTGACTAATGAGATCAAAGGAATCAAAATCAACTGCTCTTGCCCTACTCTCACCCACTGCCTTTTTGTAGATGACACAGTCATCTTCGGGGAAGCCTCATCTGATGAGGTTGGGAAGATTTTGAATATTTTAAAGGATTATGAGGCAGTGACTGGTCAAGAGGTTAATAAGGAGAAATCCTCTTTGTTCTTCAGCTTCAATGTCCCAAGTACTGAACAAGACAGAATTATCCAAGATCCCAGTTTTGCTCCAACTACTTGTCATTCCAACTATCTGGCAGTCCCTACTGAGTGGGGGAGATCCAAAAAGGAGACCTTCAACTTTCTCCTACAAAGAATGGAGAAAAGAGGCGAATCTTGGAAAAGTCTCCTCCTATCACCAGGGGGAAAAGAAGTTCTTCTTAAAGCTGTCTTCCAAGCTATTCCATCCTACATTATGTGCTTGTTCCTCATGCCAAAAGCAACAACGAAGAAGATGGACTCCATGCTGAAAAACTTCTTCTGGGGGGATCGATGATCAAAAGAACTATTCATTGGAGGGTAGGTCATGTCCTTTATGCTCCAAAAAGTGAGGGGGGTCTTGGCTTCCGACCTTTTCACATTTTCAACTTGGCCCTACTAGCCAAACAGGCCTGGAGAATCCTCACTAACCAAGATGCCTTGTGGGTCAAGGTACTCAAGAGCATCCACTTCCCTAACACTGATTTCCTAAGTGCCAAGAAAGGAGGAAAGGCATCCTGGATCTGGTCTAGTTTATGTGAAGCAAAGAAATGGATGGAGCATGGAATCATCAAGGTTATTGATAATGGCAAATCAACCAAGCTGTTTCAAGACCCATGGAGAAGAGATCGTATAGGGACCCTCCTTGATTTCAATTGTCCTGACCAAACTACTGCGGATAAATGGATTGATGATATCACCAGAGAATGGAGGTTTGATCTACTACAAGACTTTTTGAGCCCTCAGGATCTGAGACAAGTGGCGGCCATCCCAGTCGAGCCGGACTCCCTGGATGACTTCTGGGCTTGGAGATTCACTGAGCAAGGTTCCTTCACAGTGAAGTCAGTCTTTCACCTTTTCCATGACCGGGGCAGATCGTTGCAAGGGCAGGTCGAAAGGGTCTCTGAGGCATGTAAAGATAGATGGAAATGGCTATGGAGCCTGTCCATTCCTCCAAAGCTCAAATTCTTTGTCTGGAGGATTTCCAGAGGAGTGCTTGCCTCGAAAGAGAACCTTCATGCAAGGAAGTGCTCGCCATCCATAACGTGTCCTTTATGTGCCCATCCCTCTGAATCTATCCACCACTGCCTATTCACCTGCCCTCATGCAGCTGAGGGACGGAGACAGGAATGGCCCTCTCTGCCTGCACCTGCCCCTTGCACACCGTTTCTGGAATGGTTGACTTCTTTAATTTCCAGGTACTCGATCCTCTCAATCCAGAAGATTATCTTTCTCCTATGGCAGATTTGGAAGTCAAGGAATGAACGAATCTTTAAGAATACAAGTCCATGGCCTCCAGTTACGATTGCAAAGGCTTCCCTTGCACATAATCAATGGACCTCCTGCCCCAAGAAACCCCCCACTACCACTACTCCAGCTCAGCCTACCCCACCACCGAATCATTCTTCATCACCGCGAAGTACTCATGACTTTGAGATACACTGCGACAGGTCGTTTTTCAGCGACTCCCAGGAGGCGGCTTATGGCGTCGTTGTTTCGAACAGCCATGGTCAAGTCTGTGATGGTAAGGCTGAGATCTTGCACTGCTTTTCCCCTCTTGAAGCTGAAGCCAAGACACTTCTGGAAGGCTTTCGTTTGGCTGCTGATCTCCACACCCCTTGCCTCGTCCGCTCGGACTGTTTGACTCTGGTTAAGGCAGTTCATGAGCATCCGAGATCATGGCCATGGCGAGCGGCCGCTTGGATTGGCACTATCAAGAAGATGATGGAATCCAATCCGCTGATCCTGATCACGCACATTGGTCGTAAGAGTAACACGAAAGCAAACTGGGTAGCTAGATCTTGTGCCAGGAATACTTTACCTTCTGAATGTTCAGATTCTTGATGTTGTTTCACCTCTCTTGTAACTCATGGCTTTCACTACAAGTAATGGAATTTCAGTGTCCCTTTGTAAAAAAAAAAAACTAATTACTCTTGATAATTCTTACACATGAAAAATGGTAGGTGATGATGTGTTAACCCATCATTTGGTTGGAGGGAAGCAAATAGAAATTGCCATCCACGTGTGTTTTAAGAGAAGATACATGCTTTTTTTTAGTCTAGTGTAGGTATGATGGGTCATTTTTAATGGAAGAGAAGGAGTTCCTCCACGTGGACTTGAGGTAGTAGAATACCCACCTTTCTTCATTTCTTGTCCAGGTAAAATGGTTGGATGGGTGGTGATCAATAGTTACTAGAGTGGGATGGATGGGTGGTTAGCTTAATTGGGCTCATGAGTAAGTTAACGTTTGACTAATTATTTGAATTTCATTAGGTTTGACTAATATTTCAAAATTGCGAAAATGTTTGACTAAAAATTGTATTTAGTCCAGTGTTATTAAAGCCGAGCCGAGCCGCTCGGCCCGACCGGTAAAACTGCCACCCGGTCACAAAACCGGCTCGAAGCAGTCTAAAAGCCTCTCCGGTTTTATGTATCGGTTGACGAGCGCCCGAGGCGGTTAACAGCTCGAGCCGATCGAGCCGCTCGTCCTGTTTTTGCCATTCAGCCGTTCAATTTAATTGAAAAAATTGTAGAAAATTAAAAATTGAAATAAATCAAAAACTTTGAGCTCTCAAACCGAATCCTTATTACCATTTCACAATTTCGAAGGAAAGAGACGAGCTCTGATTAATAAATGTCAACTATTAATACTGATAACGTTTATTAGGTACCGATTCTCTAACGATTTTTAAATGATCTAATGCTGGTTGGACCACTAAAATGCGAGCCGTTCGCATTACCAAGTCATGCTCCGGTTCGATTACCGAGTCATGCTCCAGTTAACATTATCCTTATATCTTTCGTAGATAGATAAGATGTTCTTTCTAAAAAATAATAATAAAATATTCGGCTAAAATCCCACCCAATCTAAATCCTCAATTCAAACGACCGAAACGAAGTAATAGCGGGCCGTTCCGATTGGGCCAACAACTACCTATTGGGCCGCTCGCTGCTTGATAACAGTAGCATTTTCCCGCGCCTTTTTGCAGTCGATTTTCCCCAAAACTGTTCAAGGAACTATGGAGGGCGAAGGTTGGGAAGAAGCACTCGATCTCGATCTCGACGACTCCGACCTCCCTCCTCTCCGCCCTCTCAAACGGCACTACGTAACTCAAGAAACCCCGGTCGCCACCGCTGTTAGTCTCTCCGAACTTCAACCATTACCATTTCTGAGGCGCTGTTCGATCCTAGCGTCTCAATCTTCCCGATTCGAGCCGCCGCCTTCGCAGAACTCTTCCTCCCGTCTAATTCCGGGCCCCGCTGGAACCGTACAATCGGCCATGCAACGGAGGAAGGATCGGCACAACGGCGAGTTGGTTTGCGTGGGGGAAGACCCCATCCCTACGCAGGAGTACGTTAGGAGGGCTTTGGAGGACGATGGCGCCGGGGAAGACGACGATTTCACTCGCGAACCCTGGCTCTGCGCCCTAGATTTTATCCGCAGCAGAGGTGTTCCCGGGATCTGCTTCATCCCTTCTTTTCCTCTAACTTTTTTCCAAGCAACTTTTTGTCGCTGAATTTGTTGGTGAATTGGGCAAATTAGGTTTGGTGGATAATTATGGCACGATTGGAATCCCTTTGAGCGCTGTCAAGAGCTTTGATAACGCCGACAGGGTTGCTCAGGTACGGGTCGGGACTGAAAATCTCTTACCCCCTTGGAATCCGTTGGTGAAATCTAGTAGTGATTCTGGTAGTGTTTGGTCCCCTAGAAAGTTTTGAAAAGCTAGGCACGGGAAAGTGGCCTATGATTGTTGGTGATTCTTGTTATCCTGGTTTGCATATTGCGGAAGTATTGTTAGAGCACATCTTTACTCGAATCGTGCACTGAACTACCCAGGTGTTAGCTGTAAGGTTTTCTTGCTTATTCTGCAAAGGTTTCGGGTTACTCACACTGTTTGGTTTTGCTGTGGATGTGATTAGGTCGTTGCCATTGTCAAATCTTGTACCTCAAATGGGTTTGGCGATTTCATGGTGAATCTAAAGGTACCGGTTTGAATATGAGAGTTTGTTTTCTTACTGCATCTGCGTTTTACCCTCTGGAACTAAGGACAGTATGAACTTGTATACTATTTCTTCAGGATCCCACAGGGTGCATTGATGCTAGCATTCATCACAGAGTCGTCAGTGAGGTAGAGTCAGGGAAGGACATAGCTGTTGGAGCTGTGATCATAATAAAGAAGGTTGGTTTCTTCATGCTCTCTGGCAATAAGAACTGTTCTCGTGCTTTTAATTGATACTTTATTTGATGACTGGAGAGGTTTCATGAGTATGGGTGTATTGAGTTAATTTTGTGTTCCAGGTTGCAGTTTTCTCCCCTTCGCGCTCTTTGCATTACCTCAACATAACACCTAATAATTTTGTCAAGGTATGTCTCCTGTCTTGTGCATCCAATTATTCATGGTGTTGACTGTTGGTGAATTATATTTGGGAACCATCAGCTGGTTCACATGACATATTCCAGATAGTGAGAGTCAGACCGTGACCCTCATAGCACCTTGTACGTATTACTGGTTTGTGTGCCCAATTTAGCAAAACTACCCCACGATGTAAATGAACTTCAGTCGTCAAGCCTATTGTTTCACTACAGACCTCCAGAGCTTTGTGCTCTAGCTTGTGGCTCTCAGGACTAGTGCTGTCAAAATAGTTTCCCTCACTGGCAATCTTATGTTCGAAGGTCTGTGATCATAACTAGTTTACAACCCAGGGCAACGATTGTAATCAGAAGAGTAAAAGGGATTGATCTGCAAAATGAACCATTTCTTCCACTGGATACCTACACACCAAAACCGTTTGGAGAAAAGTCTTTCCTTTTAGCTTGTCTTATCAACTACCAGTTCCCGTATCTTTTTCCACCTTTGAGCATCAGCATTACTTTCCTCTTCTACTTCTCATCACAGAATAGCTTGATGCCTAAAGTTAACAGCTGCACCTTTTTCAGTCATGTGCCCTCCTTTCATTGTGCAGATATTCTCCAAGGACTACAAAGCACCACTAGTGGAGGATAATTGTGCATTAACCGACGTACATGTTCCTCTAATATCCGGTACCTTCTGTTTTCTCTTTATCATCATTATTCTCTGCAGTTTTCCTAGAGAATGTTTTCATTATATTCTGTCTCATTTAAGTTTAAGTTGCTTCCTGCAAATGATCTCTTTTGTTACCACAGACTGCAGCGATCAAACATCAACTCCAAAGAGTCAATCCTTTGTGTCGCAAAGAGAACGAACTGAAGGAATCATTAACAGTCTTAAACAAAACCATAACACGAGCGGGAGGAAACACAGTGGTGAAGAGATTGAAGGCCTGTCAACCGAGGCTGCAGTCAGCAGCTCCGCCGTCGATGGAATTATCGGACGACCAAAAGTTGTTACACGGAAAGAACAAGTTCCACAGCCAGGAGATGCTATGGGATGTGGATTGAAAGAAGTAGGTGTTGAAAAAGATCGTTCAGACATGGACGAGGCTTACGTCGTGTACGAGATTCCAGATCATGGGAATGAGAGAAGTGGCAGCAGTAGTAGCCAAGTGGTGAAGCAGACGCAGCATGCACCTCCACAGTGGACAGACGAGCAACTGGATGAGCTTTTTGCATTCGATTAAGCACTACTCACAGAAGTTCTTCACCGTGCCGCCGCAAAATTTGTAAACTATCATAAAGGATGGGATTATACCGTTATGCCACGGATGAACTGACGCTCTCGGTTCGGAAGTTGCTTGTAGCTAACAAGCGAGAGAATGACGTTGGTGTCGTAAACCTTTAGTTTTATTAATTCGATGAACCACACTACAGCCCAACTTACATATTTATAGAATATAAAACCTAATACGCAACCCTAATGCTACCCGAAAAACCCATTCCTATTCGGCTACCCTTACCGTGCCGCCTACGAAAACCCAAACCCAAATGGAAACCAACAACACCTACTAGCCCTAAATCCAATCCGAAAAACCAACTCGTCAATCCTTCCCCATCGAAATCAACCTTGTTCCCAAGGTTGACTCTCAAAATCTTCTTCTTCGAACAAGCACATCACCCGCGTGTTACTACACTTGTGCCTGATGGTGAACCGCTTGTCGCAGTTGAAGCACAAACCCTTTGGTTTCTCCGTGGCGACGGTCTCCTTGTCGTCACGCTGGCTTGCCAGCTTCTCGAACAGCGCCATCAACAGCATGACATTCTCATCCGTCCTGGCCATGCACTCGAGCATTCCCGTCATGGTGCCTGGAGGGACTGAATTGTCGCCTCCGTCTGCGCAGCTTGCGCCTCCAGCCGTTCGCCCTGCGCCACCAAGCCCTCGGTGGTGGCTTCCAACGCCGAACAACGTTCAACCGCCGATCCCCCCATTGTTGCGGAAGCCGTGGGCTCTGATACCACTGATGAACCGACGTTCTCGGTTCGAGAGTTGCTTGTAGCTCACAAGCGAAAGAACCACGTTGGTATCGATAAACTTTACTGAGCTTAGAATCCAATAATGCTCTATTGGGCCTGACTTATCCATTCTTACTGGGTTTAGAATTCAGTACCGCTCAACTATGGGCGAACATAATGGATTCACAAATTTACCAAGTTTATGTAGAAGAACAAACTTTGATCTTACTGATAAGGCCAATACTATGGTACCACTGTAAAAACTGCGGCACCGGTGACGCTGATTCTTATTGGGCCACGTGGAGCTGATGTGTCACTGACTAAGTTAATTAAACCCAAGCCCAAATATCAACCGAGCAAGCTGGCCTAACCCTACCGGCTACCATCGTCAAATTAACGGGGTGTCTTCCTTTGATGGATTTCTCTTTCCATTTAATTGCATTCATTTTTCTCCTGAAAAAAAAAGAAGATAAAAAACTCAAAAGCAAACCCAAAAATGTCTCATCCATCTCCTGCTCGTCTGATTCTGAAAAGAGTGCAGTGTCTGGCGAACTCCACAGATGTCGATCCTAACTCCACACCCTGCACTTAGGCCTTCTGTATCCTCCTCCCCCATTGATCGTGTAAAACAAAACACGACCCTGGTTCCGAGCGACCCTGTGTCTTCGTCGAAGAACTCTGTCGATTCCGACGATCCCAAGGCAAAGGAAGTGTCAATCACCCTCCCTCTGCAGTGTCCCCTCTTTCTACACCGTTACTGTTGGGAATGTCGAAGTCGATTGTGTAGTTCCTTGGTGCCTAGAGACGTTGCCCAACAAATCCTGGTTATTCAATTCGTTTGTTATTTTAGGAAGTATGACAATGATTGGTCTCGTTTGGGTGCCGAATCAGGCCTAGTTTCCCTTTGCCTCTGAGCTGTTATGTCAGGGATGTTACAATGGAGCCTGATTTTCGGGGGTTTTTTTTTGCGCTTGCCTTATGATTTGCGACCGGGACTTGCGTTTTCCTGTTCTGTGCTTGTTCTAATTCTCTGTTCTTTCTTTGTTGGATGGTGTTTTTTCTCCAATCTGAACCCAAAACGTGAAGGTGTGTATGTTTTTCTTTTTCTATTGGTTTGCGTCTGCTTTGAATTGGGATGAGGAGAACAATAATCTTTTTGGTATGAATACTCATCATGAACGGAATCCAAAATAGCTAGCTGCTGGCATTGTTTAATAAGAGGTTACAAAGTTGCAACTTACGGAAGAAAGAAGTTCACAACACAACTCTGATCAAGATTACAGTACTAAGCAAAGGGGACTTTTTAATGAAGGCTTGGCTGGCTATAAAAATAGCAGACTTGTTTGTGAAAATAAAGGAAGAATAAGTATCCAATCTTTATTTGCTCAATCTTTATTAAACTGCTCATGGGTTGCATGTTTGTTGTTGTATTCCAACATTTGATGTTTGCTTACATACAAAGCTCTTTAATGGCTTCTTGCTCTCATATTGTGTTGGTTTGAATAATTGGTCATGGCCATGGGTTACTGTTTCTATGAATGGACCTGGCTCTGGCTTTTGTCTTTGTTTCAAATGTTAGTTGGTTAATTAGGGAGGAAAGCTTAAGATGGTAGAGAATAATGGATTTATGCTAATTTGTTACTAGGATTGAATGTTATAGGTGTTGATATCAGTATGAACACACATTTGAAGACGATGAAGTTGTCGCTCAAGGGCAAGAATCCGGTAAGATGTTCATTTATTACCTTTTCCTTTTCCTTTCTTATTTTACAGTTGGATGTTTCATGTTAGCTTTAATTGTATGATTATATTGCAGGGAGGGGAGTGGGATGTGGCTGAGGAAGGGGTCGTGGAAAAGGACATGCACTTTGACAATAAATTGTCTTTGATATAGCTGTGCATCAAGTTTTTTGGGATTAGTTAGGGAATTGAGAGAAGTGAGAACTCTTTGTAAGTTTTGAATCGCGCTTGGAGAATCTGAGCTTGAAGTTGGTACTGTATTTAGGTCTTACGTGCGTTATGTCATGAGAATGAGATACGGGTTGTTTATATGCTTACGGGTGTATACGTGGTAGCTAATAGTGTAAGTTTGGAGAAAGTGATGAGATGGTGTGAAAATTGCAGCTTTCTAGAGCCTTCATTTCTTGATTTATTGATGCTGCTTTTTCATATGAAGAACAGATGGTTATGTATTATGCTTAAAGGCTTATATTCGATGAAATTTAACAAGCATTTGTGCTGCCTATGTTCTAGATTGAATTGACCTTGAGCCATATAATTATCCCTTGCATCTGGTTTAGAATGTGGACTGCCAAAACAGAGTATGAATTGTGATTCTTGACTCAAGAAAACTTGTTCAGAACTTCAGCTTTGGGAGTTTCAACCTCACTCCCTTGATTTGTCTAGTTTGAGTTGACCTGTGAGCAATGAATTTGTGTCTAATTCTTTGAATAACATGGCATATTGTGTCTGCCTAAATTGACACGTGTCTTGAGCAGAAGTATCTGATCTGATCAGCGACCAATATTGGCACTAGGCATCTGTGAAAATGTAATGCGTTTGGAATCCTTTTCTGAAGAAGATAATTTCAAATTCACATTGGTTAGATTTATTCAACTATTTCACTAGCATACGTCTTTGAAATGCCCAATTCTAAGCTTACAGCAAGATTCATGTGGAGTAACAAAACAACATTGCTATAGAGACTAAGAAGAGTGAAAAAGATCCAAAGAGACATAAAGCTCCTGAATTTAGCCGCAACAGGGTGCTCCTTGAGTAGCTGAGCCACTTCTGGTAGATGGTCCATACTGTCCTCCATAGCCAAGCTTGATCCCACGGGACTGCAGAACCGACAACAGAAGAACAATGTTATCACGAGGCCTTGCGAAAATGACAAGTGAACCGATCTTCCAATAGGAGCAGTATACCTACTCGACATGCTTCCTTGCGTCCTCCAACCAGCTGGCCAAGTGGTTGAATGTTTCCCTTAAGAAAAACTATTAGCATAAATGAGTGCATAACAGAAAGGTTTGGACAAGTAAAATCATCATCTAGCAGCTAGTAATCGAGATTCGTTCTGTAAGATACTGTGGTAAAATCATCATATGCTAAATGCATTCCAAGCATCTTTTGCAATATGAATTTCCCTGCCAAAAGCATTCCAAGCATTGACAGGTTAGTCTCAATTGCAAGAATTCATGACAAAAGAATAAGCACTCAAAAGTTAAGACACCAAACAGCATCAGCAGCCGCCTAGCAGCTGCCCCTCCATCAACTGCTTGGTCTTCTCATTCCACTCCACAACAATTTGTAGATAGCTGACCGGGGACTTGATAGATTTTAGGAAGGGCAACACTATTGGAGTTTGTAACAGTAGAACCTTCAAAGATTCGAGCTGATTATAGCTTCTGTTAGCCATCTATGCAATAAATTAACTAATGCTAGTTTTATTGCAGTTGACATTTAAAAGTATACCTAAGTCCAGCATCTCCATTTTCACACTCAAGTCATCCCATCATTCGGGTAAGGATTTGATGCCACCCAACAGAAGCAACTCAAAGTACCATTTGTTTTATACACAAAGGAAAACCAGGAAAAGAGAGGCCAAACGATGGGACTCCTAATCAAGAAAACAAATCTAACCTTTAACGGTGTTGGATTCTGCGGACATATTCTCAAGATATGCTTGCCAAGAACAAAATTTTGAAGCCTCCATATATGTGTCCAACATTGCACCAATCACCCTCCCTAATTTCAACTACATTATAATGAGATACACAATAAAACAAATAAATCAGTCACCTTACCACAATCGAATGGAATAACAGGCTTCAACTTGAGCTCCTCTTCCTGAGGGAGAAACAATCTGATACGTTGGTAAAATAACAAGAGAAGCGCAATGCCTTGTTTGAAGCACAAACTTCAATGGAAGGGAAAGAATGGTGGTTGTCTCAAAACAGCGAAATTAAGGCACCAGAATGACGGGGACGGTTTACAGCGATGGGGACGACGCTGCGGGAGTTAGCTGTCATATTCAATGACTAGGGGTCATCTGGTATCGTGGCAACGTTGCAGCTCGTCGGAGACAGAGTGACGGTGACGAAGCGGGAATCGATGGCTATGCTATGCAGAATAACTGGAGGAATTAGCCAGGTTCGGACCTTGGGATTTGATCTACGACAGAGTCCTCAAAAGTGATTTTGATAGGTCATTTGAGAGGGAGATTGAGAAGACGACGATTCACTTTTCTAGTTCGTTTTTATCCTTGCCTTTTACTGTTAACAGTCTTCTTCTAGTCTCCTATTTTAATGAGAAGAAGGTTTGGAGTTTGGATGGACTTTTGTGGAGTTTGCCGGACCAGTTTGTGCGCTTCACAGTCGGAAGGCTAGAGATCGAGGAAGACGCCAAGAAATGACATTGTTTGCTTGTTTATTGCAGTAAAAAAGTAAATAAATGCAATTAAATGAAAATCAAATAGAAAAGAAAACCAAAGGAAGACACCCCGTTAGTTTGACGGTGGTTACTGGTTGGGTTCGGCCAGCTTGCTCGGTTAATATTTGAGCATGGGTTAAATTGATCCAGTCAGTGCCACATCAGCTCCACATGACCCAATAAAAATTAGCGTCACCGATGTCACAATTTTTATAGCGGCACCGTAGAGGTGACAATTCTCAATCCAATTCACCAATCCAATCCACCAACCCATTAAAAATATCCACTTAATCCAATCCATTTGATCCAAATCCAATTGGATTGGTGGATTCATGGATTGATCCATAGACCCAAATGACAAATTACGATTTGGTACCTATACTTTTTATATTTTACATTTTGGTACCCAAAATTTAATTTTTATACGAAATATCATTGGAAAATTACGCTTTGGTACCCAAAATTTAATTATTATGACATTTTAGTACCTAAACTTTTCACATTTTACATATTGGTTCTTGGTTGAGGATGTCATTTGGATTCATGGATAATCCACCAATCTACTTGATCCAATCCATGAATCTACCAATCAATTGGATCCAATCCATTTGATCAATGGATCCACCAATTCAATCCACTAATCCATGAATCTGATCCATTTTCCACCTCTAAACGTGAGCGTACCGCGGCCCAAATCTCATTTTCCTCCTCATCCTGGGCCCTTAAATCAATTCACTATCTGTTCATTCAAAGACTGGACTGGGCCCAGAAAATAGGCCAAGATGTAGGCTTTTTGGACACCTTCTGTTCTGATTCGAGCCCAAACTGTTCTGCGCAGGCGCGAATTGGGAACGCTGAGGAACCCTAGCGGCAAACACGAAAGGAAGAGCGAGAGAAAGATCAGAAGCAGAACTATTTCGTAGCAATGTATTCGGCAATTTCATACCTTCGGAATAGCAGAGCTTTGAGCTCGGCGTCATCTTTGCTACGCGGTGATGGAGGGTTCTGCAGATATGCCTCTTCTCTTTCTTCCCCTGCTTCTCCAGGCAAGTCTCTCTCTCTCTCTCTCTCTCTCTCTCTCTCTCTCTCTCTCTCTCTCTCTCTCTTTTTGTTTCGGTGATTATAGACTTCGAAATGGTGTAGTTGACTGAAGAATGTAACTCGAATCACCGGGATTGAAAGGTTAACTTGTTCAAGAATGTCTGATCGTATCTGAATGGAAGTTGGAAGTTCAGTTGGGGAAAGGGTAAAGATTGGAAATTGAGCAATTGAATCACTTGGGTTTGGGTAGTCTCAATTCAATTTCAAGCACACATTTTTAGGAGTCTTCTTGTGCATTTCAGTTAAGCATTCTGTGGGGGTGGAACTTTGGTGTGTTGTTTATTTTTACTCTTCTCTTGCATCAATGTATGGATTCCTTAACTCTGTAGCCATGGATGAAAGAAGGCAAATTTCATGAACTTCCTTGGTGTATGTGTCGAATCCCATCCTGCAGGGCCGACAAAGGTCGAGCCGGACAGGAACTCCAGGCCAATGGACTATGTTCGGACGGCGATAAACGAAGAGTCCTCTCAAATCTCTCGGCTCAACAACGACGAGAATGCTGATTGCGTCCACATAAAGCTGCTGCGCAACAACACCTTTGTCACGGTGACCGATCCCAATGGAAACACCAAGATCGGAGGGCTGAAAGCTTCATCGGGGATGGTGCCGGAGCTCAAAGGTGGGCCGAAGCTATCCCGTTACGTAGCTGAAGCAACGTCGGAGCATGTTGGAAGGAAAGCTAGAGAAATGGGGTTGAGATCAGTTGTGGTGAAGGTGAATGGGTTCTCTTTCTTCAAGAAGAAGAGGCAAGCGATCATGAGCTTCAAAGAGGGGTTCGGGAACTCCATAGTCTCTATTGAAGATACTACGCGTAAGCCACATAATGGTTGCAGGCTCCCGAAGAAGCGCAGAATCTAGGACATCAGAATGGCTAGTGGTTTCATTGTAGGCAGGCTCATATGCCTGGAGAAACAGATCTTGATGTTCCGTGGCAATTGAATTGTGGGGAAAAGTATATGATATACTGCTAGTCCCTGGATGTAATAACGTTGTGCTTCCCATTTTATGTTCTCTGGATTGTGCTCTGTTCTCTACCTGTTGGATTCAACGAGTTAAATTCGCGTGCTGATCTACTGTTGATCAGCAGGTGGATACATGTTGGTTATATTTTTCTGGATTTTATTGATCTGCTTTAGAATTCGATGTTCACAACACCCATGCTCACGCCATGATAATGATACTCTTCATTCAAGGCTGGAAAATAACATTGTTCAATGACACAACCGAAACCGATCAAACTACGACAGACCCATGCCACCTTGATTGGTCTAGAATAGAAATACTTTCTATAAAGTTGTAATTAAACGCATTAGGTCGAAATAGTAATTCTATAGCTGCCTGGCTTTCGTCATTGTGGGTGCCTGGCACTAGTTTAACCTTATTACCTTAATTAGGCCGACAGAATTCCCATTCAGAGCCACCTGAAGAAGTCCTATTTTTCAATGTCAATCACGTTTCAAAACATAAGCTATAGACTACTATCAAACGTAACGTATGACCAAGAAAGCTTGCTCAAATCAAAAGCAAATCAGGCGCCGATTCCGGGGAAAAAAACAGGCTGCAGCACCACGAATTATCCAGAGTCGTGTTGGGCGGCTTTTGAGGTCAGTATGTCTCTCAATGCGAGTGGCGACGAGGTTGGAGCCAAGGTGTCGATGGGACAAGGGTTCATGAAAACTGCTCAATCGCCTCCGGCTTCTGAAAGGGAGATGATTTGCAAACTGAATGAATATGGGACCAATATCCTCGATCCTGGATCCGGCGGAATCAAGAGAACTTTTTACGAGATGAGAGGAACCATGAAGGACTCCTAACCCTAAATGCCCGTTCACTTGCCATTTCGTTTTTCATAATTGCCACAACAGAAAACACATTAAAATGAAAACAAAGTTGTCATTTTCTGGAAAACAAAATCTGAAGAAAACTTGTTTAGCGAAGAATTTTGATAATTCTGGAATTGGATTCTGAAAATGAAAACCTGTTTAGTTATTTCATTATGTTTTCTGGTACTTGATTACCACATTTTTTTCATTGAGTATCATACAACTCTAGTAATTATTATAATTTTTTATACAAATCATATTGTTTTTTTTTACTGTCAAATCATATTGTTTTTAAATACCTAATAAACGCATAAATACAATACTACCATATATTATATTACATAAGTACTATATTATAATCAATATGAGGGAGTAGAACACTGATCTCCCAAAATTTATTCTCTGAATTGAGGTCAGTGCTGCTTCTATTTATGAGAGCCACTTTGCCCGCAGAGAACCAAGACATCAGGGGGTTTGATTATGCAGGAGGTTTGAATTGGATTTTAGGGAGTAAGGAGCTCAGATCGGAGATCGATGGGGGAATTAGATCATCCCTCACATTACAAATTGCTATAGGTTTAATTCATTCCAATAAACCGGACCTTGTCTTCGTTTCGGAAACAAGATCGAGTCGGAGAGTAGTTACCCGTAGGATGCGGGGTTTAGGTTTCAATTTGAATCTTGTTTTTGTTGTTGATGCCATCGATACTTCTGGTGGTTTAGTTTTAGCTTGGTCCCCCGAAGTTGATGCTTGAGTGTTTTATCATTCGGGATTTTTCCATTGGTGTTCGGAATAATGAAAGTGATTTTTCGTATGTGGTGATTTGTGTTTATTTAAGTTGTCATGAAGTCATTCGCGCTACCCAATTGAATGTGCTTCGACAATTGTGTGAAGAGATCCAATTGCCTTTTGTGGTCTTAGGTGATTTCAATGTCACTTTGAATGAGAATGAAAAGGATGGTGGAAATCCATGGGCTGTTGCCCCATCCATTCCTCTCAGGAATTTTATCCACGACCTAGGGCTTCAGGATCCGGGATACCAGGGTGACCAGTTCACCTGGACGAACAAACGGATGTGGACGACCTGTATTCGTGAACGTTTGGATAGAGTCCTTTGCTCCCAGGCTTGGATTGAAACCTTCCATGACACCCCTTTCAAGCATTTTACGGATCAGGGTTCCGACCATCGAGCTCTAATCCTCTCGGACAAGCCTTATATGTCAGGCAGAGTCGGCCTCTCTTCCACTTTGATGCGCGTTGGGCAGATAATCCAGAAGTTAGGGCCATGGTGACTTATGTGTGGTCTGAAGAAGTTCACGGCTCCCCTATGTATCAGTTGTGGGAGAAATTGAAGAAACTCAGACACCTGCTTTATGACTGGAGCAGAGCTGGTACAACGAATTCACTCAGGAATATTAAGACCCTACAAGCTGGAATTGATCGGGTTAAACTTTGTCACCCGATTGACTGGGAAGAGGTCAAGGTGTTGGAATATGAGTTGAACCAGCAATGGGAAGCAGAGGAGGCCTACTGGCAACAAAAATCTAGAGTCCGCTGGCTCAAAAAGGGTGATAAGAATTCCTCGTATTTCCATACGGTCACCCGGGCTCGTCGGAAACATAATTTTGTTACGAGTCTTCACAATGATGAGGGGGAATGGGTTATGGAGGGAAAAGGGAAGGCAGGCATAGCCGCATAGCAACAAATTTCTACCAACACCTTTTTACCTCCGAGAACCAAATTCATAACATGGAAGTGAGGATTGCAGATCTTCCGATTGATTGCAGAACCAAGCTTAGATCCATTAGCCTCTATCAGTTCGTGTATAAGATCATTACCAAAATCATGGCAGAAAGGCTGGCCCAGTTTTTACCCAAAATCGTCTCCGATTGGCAAAATGATTTTATCCGGGAAAGACAAATTGTGGAGAACATTCTACTCGGCCATGAGTTAATGAATTATTTGAAAATCAAAACGCGAGGAAAGAAAGGGTACATGGCTCTAAAGGTTGACATGGAAAAGGCCTATGACAAAATCGAATGACCATTTCTACTTGCAATTTTGAGAAAGTTAGGTTTTAACTCGGTCTGGTGTGGATGGGTTCAGGAATGCCTCAATTCAACCTCCTTCTCGGTACTTATGAATGATACCCCCTCAAAGTTCTTTGCTCCGTCCCGTGGGCTAAGACAGGGGGCCCATTATCCCCATTACTGTTTGTGCTTTGCACAGAGGGTTTTGCGGCACTCCTCCGCCAGGCTATTGCAGTTGGAAAGCTAGAAGAGGTGAAGGTGGCTCCTAGAATTTCGCATTTGTTCTTTGCAGATGATTCTTACTTATTCCTCAGATGCTCTCTCCAAGAATGTGATAACCTAATTGAGGTTCTAAACACGTACGAGGAACTCAGTGGCCAATGGGTTAACCTGGTAAAATCGTCGGTCTGCTTTAGCAAGAATGTATCACTGTCTGATCAGGAGTTCCTTGCTGAAATCTTGGGGGTTGGAGCAGTGGGGGTCCAGGACAAATATTTGGGGTTGCCAACACTGATTGCGCGTTCTAAGATGGTGACTCGCATGAAACTACACCACAAATTATTCCCCACTAGAGCCCAAGTTTTTAAACTCTAGCCGGGTGCAGTATAGAGCAAGTATTTAAATTGTCAACCCGGGCCGGTCCATGTACCTCTACTTCAATCGCTTAAGTTGTTATCTAGCAAAACGGTTTTGGGTTTAAAACTATGAAAACTGCAAACTAAACTAGCAAGGAAAAGTAAATGAAAGAAAATCCTAACTAAGGGAGCTTCACCCAGGAGTTGCTTCCCCCTAACTAGCTACCAAGACTCATTGGATTGGAACGATTGCTATGGGCAAGGTAACCGCGAACCGCAGAGGGATGCATATATGGTCGGAGACCACAATCTCAATTGCTAAACCGAGGTGAACAATATAGGCCGTGTCACTCGACCCTCTCGGTTTAGGGAATCGGTAGTTGAATTACTCCCTCACTCAACTCAAAGGTCGGACAGCTTAATTGCAATCATGGATGGCAATGGGTCGGGTCGGGGACGGATAGTGCATATCCGTTACCCTACCCAAAGTAGTTCGGGTAGAAAATCCAAACCATGCCCATACCCGTTCGGGTTTCGGGTATCCACGGTTATCCATGGGTAATAGTTTTTCTTTATAACTCCAATCAATATGTTAATATTTACACATATTCTCACGTTACGTAAGACAAAAAGTACGACAATAATTCACTAGAATAAAGAAAATTAATTAAAACAACACAATTTCATAAGAACATTATATTTATATGCTAAATATAAAATATGTTAGAGAAAAATATTGATTATTTCTAGACAAAATACATATGCATGTGTATAATCGGGAGGGTTCGGGTTGGATAGTGAGAAAACCATGCCCACCCATTACCCGCAATATTCGGGTTCGGGTTTTACCCGTACCCGCTAAAAGTCTTTCGGGTTCGGGTTTTACCCTATCCGATTAGGTCGGATTCGGGCGGATATCCACGGTTACGGATATTTTTGCCATCCCTAATTGCAATTGACCGATTTGCTTAATTCAACAATGAGGGCTGCCCTAAATTAACCTAATTAGGTGGCTTAAAAAGTTGAAGGAAAACCTACTCGATTCAGTCTCCCTTGGAAGGGGGATTCTCCTCTGTAAGTTAGGTTAAGGTGGCTAGTTAGATTGCTAGCACCAACATGCACAAACCTAAGGTTGCTAAGCACAAATATGCACAATCTTTGGTTGCTAAGCACCAAAATTCACAAACCTAAGGATGCTAAGCACAAAACATGCACAACCCTTAGATTGCTAAGCACAAGCATGCACAATCAACATGAATAATACCTCAATCATTAAATTAAACAATACCCAATGACAATCATTCAATCTAAACAAGTAATTACAAAGTATTATTTAGGGATCTACAACACCCAAGAGAAAAGAGTGAGTTTCTAGAGAGAGAGAGGGGGAGGGATTACAAATTTGAGCTCAAGATCTTCTTCTTCTTCT